CAGCCATCCATGGCAAGGATGGCTGCATCCACAGAAGGCAAGGAAGARCAGAAGGGAGGAGGCCACCAGTTGAGAAAGTGGAGAATAGAATTGAGAAGTGGMTAGAAGAGTTTTGTGATGCTGACTAGGATCTTCCTTTATGCCCTGTGGATTTGTGGGAAAAAACATACAGTTCTATGGGCAGGGAGTGTGAAAKATCCCTTCCTGGTGCTTCCTTTGGCCACTGGCCAAACTTGTCATGGATTTACTAGAAAGGATGCAGGTCATGCTCTAGTTTGGCAATGCATTTGTTCCTACTGCCTTCTCAGGAAAGACGTCAGAAGGCCCTCTTTCTAATGGGTTCTGGAGGGAAGGTACCTGCTAGGTTTTTCGGGGACAGGGCATGCAGAGTTGTGGTTGAGCTCAACACATCAGTTAGATCAAAAACACAATTTGCCGATGTGCTGATGTGCTAGGATTCCCTTAGGGGTATAAGAGAGCTGTCAGGAAGGCTCAAGTGAAGGGGCAAAAGAGAGGGTAAGAAGTGATCTTTATGCACTGGAAAAGAACAGATGCCAGTCCTAATCATTGTTGTTTCTTTCCTGTGCCACACAGGTCCAGAAATATCACCTCAGAGTAAGGCAGTAAGGGACTCAGACCTTTCCTCCAATCTGAACGCCTCAGACAATTTCCCTTTCCTTTGCCTTTTTGCTGAAGAGACAAGGAAGGCAGCTGTGAGAGACTGAGAGAAAAGCGCACTTTTGGGAAGTCATCTGAATAAATATCTATTTTTCCTCAGACATGTTTTCCAGAAGCATCTGTAAAGTGTTGACCTGCTGGAAAGCAGCTCTCTGTGGAGGGATTTGGGAGTCCTGGTGGTTAACAAGTTAGCCATGAGGCAGCAGAGTGTCCTTGTGGCTGAGAATTTCCCAATGGAATTCTTGCCTGCATTAGGASGAGTGTTGCCAGCATGTGGGGAGTGGTGATGCTCCCCTTCTCCTCAGCTCTGAGGCCACATCTGGAGCTGGAGCCTGGAGAAAAGAAGACTGGGAGGGGATCTTATAAATATGTACAAATACCTGAGAGGCKGAGAGGAGAAGGTAGGGAGGATGGGGCCAAACTCTTCTTGGTGCTTGGCAGCCTTAGCTAACAAAACAATTTCATTATCCTTAAATAGGATAGGATATGGGTTGGAGGGCATTTGGGAGAGTTGGCTTCTTCTCACTCTTACAGATAAATCCCTAAAACAATATAATTAAAAATAACACATCCTAACTAAATTATATTAAAACCAGCATCTACTTTACATCTTCCATGGGCGCATCTGCGTTGCATGCTTCCTCTTGAAAACAAAAGAAAAGACTAATTCACTTCTCAGATTAGAAAGAGGGAACAATTCATTTAGTGTGGATCTTATGAATTTTCTCATAGGCATCTTTTGCCTTCCAGATGTATTTGTGTAATGAGGTGTCCAATACCAGTGGTATTGCCCCCACAGTGAGGAGTTCAACCAAGACAGGTTGTACTGGGGAATAAGATGGACTTCTAGAGTGATCGGGGTCATGTGAGGCTGGTATGATTGTTGGAGCTTTTGGGCAGAATGCTGTGATGTTTGAGCATCCATTTATTCCCTTGCAGCTGTTGACACTGGTCACCACACCCCACACCCATTCAGCCCATCCTAAATTGAATCCAGAATTGAAGAACTGAACAAAATTATGAGAGTCATGGATCCTTAGAGGTTTGTTGCATTTTAATGGTCCCTTGGGTATATTTGGTGCTGAATCCATGAAGCTCACGTCCTGAGAGGAGGTTGAACAAARACTTCAAGAAGCTGAAGTCAGAAGGAAATCCAAAAGTTTCTTGGAGTGTTAATGAGTCCCATTGAGGGTTCCCATAGCTATCTCCACCACAAGCTGTCCTATGGTGTCCCATGACTCTGTTTCCCTGAAAAGAGCATGGGACTCTCACCCATGGRCTTCCCTACCTCTACTCATGTCTCTCTGTCCTCCCCTTTTCTCCTCGAAATGCAAAACCAAGGGATGATCACAGAGACCTTTCAGAGAGACCTGGAGCACCACAGGCCTACTCTTTAAGTTCTTTCAACCTCTCTACATGGACACATTTGTCCCCCACTATATGAAGGACTTGATAGTTCCCTCGAAAATCTGGCATGATATGTCCAGATTGACTATCAGAAACAACACCTGAACCCTGGGAAAAAGAGCTCCCTTTTGTTCCTGTGTAGGGATCCAGCGTAGCTAAGAGATGGGAAGAGGTGTTTCTAGAGTGGGACATTTCCACATCTTGCAGTTAACCATCCCCCRGTTTGAGAGACTGCAATGTTGAAATCAGTCCCTCTCCATACTCAGAGAGAAAGTACAGGGTGACCTCAGTGAAGGCTTGCCAGGAGYCAGAAATTTATGCCTTCAGCAGGGTCTCTGCCAGACTCCTGGGATGGAAGCAGCTCATAGAAACCCAGCAGCACTGCCAAGAGGCAGGTCTGGGTGATCATGTGCTCCTCCCCTAGAGGAGGAGCTCCTGATGTGCTCTTCTTCCTCCACCCCTTAACCTGACCACTCCATAAAGAGTACCTAGACAGGGGCTAATTAAGCAGGTACCAATAAATTCCATCTAGTATGCAAATATGAGTCAATCATCTTCCCCCCTCTCCACCATAAATAGTGCAGGCAGCCCAGAACCCATTGAGCTCTCCTGCACTGCAGTGGACTGTACTGCAGAACATCCTGCTCATCAGGGACATCTTGCAAAGATACTCCTCGAGACTGAAAGATTCCTTACAAACAACAGATCCTGAGTAAGTGACTAACAGAATGTTAAAGCTTTGCAAAACTTTGAAAATTTCCTTAGCTGACTGATTGTGCACATAATCCTTTAGACCTAAACTCTTGACCATGTCTGAGACTAGGAGTGGATCCAGCCAGCCTCAGGCTCCTCTGACAAGGAGTCTGGAAAGCAAAGTGGTCCTTTCTGAAACTCATGATTCAACAGAAGGATCTCCTTGACACTTCCACCTGACCCTGTTCTTCATGCAATACACAAGTGAGTAAACCTCGCCATTGTTCCTTTTTAAATCAYTGTCTTATTTATCATGGAACTATGTTAAATTACTTTATCTTAGGAAAATAAATTGCTGTTTTTTCTTATGAGAGAACTACATCACTCCTCACCATCCTCAACACTCTTGAGGAGTGTTGCCTAGGAGCAGCTCCTCTGCAAAGAGCAACAGGTCTCTAGGCACTGCCTGCTCTTGCTGCCATAAGATGACAGAAGGCAGAGAGATGTGACTGGGATCATCATCCCAACTTCTATAGGATGGAGAAGGAGGAGAGATTTCCAGCTTGAATTCACTGGCACACAGTCAGAAGGATAGGGTGTACTGCTACCTTCTGCCAGGGGCACTGCAGGGGATGGATCTAGTGGAATCACACAGTAATCTCCAGAGCTGTGACTGAGAGCAGTTCTGAGGGGCCAGTAGGTGGGATGTGGTCTGTGAGCACTGAAAAGGCAGAGATGTGGGAACAGAGACACTGTTTTGTTCAGGGACTGCTCAAGGGAACAGAGTCAAAGTGTGGATGTAAGCTACACAGTTTAGCACCTCTCCTCCTCTCCCATTGAGCACTCAAACCTTTGGAGTCTACATCATGAGTTATTTCTTTGGTGGTTGCATATCCTGAGGAGGAGAAACACTGCAGTGCCTTCATGTCTCTCTGTCCCTGTCTCCCTCGTCAGTAATATTGCTCTATTGCTCTATGTCTCCCCACCTGTCTCTGCTGCTCATGTACTTTCCCTTGGACTCTCTAGTGAGCAGCAAACAAATACCGTTCAGACAATGCACTTGTGGCATCTGCCATGCAGACCTGTCCTTGACAAGGAGGTGCCCGAGATCCCGCTGATCTGTGGTGTTTTGCGCAATGAACTGTGGGGTGAGAGGTGCTGTCTGGGAATGAGCCACTTCTCTCTTCAGGACACCCYATCCACAGGACATTTGACCATTTGACTCTGAAAGGTCTTTGACATTTGACACTGCACAGAAAGCAAAGATCAAGAGGGTTAATATCTGCTTTTGTGGAGAGGGCAGAGCTGTAAGAAATATAAAGCACTGCTCAGAGAAGGCTGTCCTAACTTGTCAATGTCTTTCTCTCTTTGGACAGTCCCCATACATAGATGTCGAACAGAAGCTCCTTCAATGAGTTCCTGCTCCTGGCATTCTCAGACACGAGGCAGCTGCAGCTCTTGCACTTCTCGCTGTTCCTAGGCATCTATCTGACTGCTGTCCTGGGCAATGGTYTCATCATCACAGCAGTAGCCTGTGACCACCACCTCCACACCTCCATGTACTTCTTCCTTCTCAATCTCTCCCTCCTCGATATTGGTACCATCTCCACCACTATCCCTAAATCCATGTCCATTTCCCTGTGGGACACCAGAGACATTTCCTACTCAAGATGTGCTGCCCAGATGTTTTTCATTGTCTTTTTCAGTTTGGCYGAGTACTTTCTTCTCACTGTCATGGCCTATGACCGCTTTGTTGCAATCTGCAGACCCCTGCACTATGGAACAGTCCTGGACAGCACAGCTTGTGTCAAAATGGCAGCAGCTGCCTGGGGCAGTGGTTTTCTCTGTGCTGTCCTGCACACTGCTAATACATTTTCTCTACCACTCTGCCAAAGCAATGTCCTGGGGCAGTTTTTCTGTGAAATTGCCCAGATCCTCAAGCTCTCCTGCACAGGCTCCTACCTCAGGAAATCTGGAGCTATTCTGGTTACTGCCTGGTTAGGTTTGGGGTGCTTCATTTTCATTGTGTTGTCCTATGTGCAGATCTTCAGAGCTGTATTGAAGATCCCCTCTGAGCAAGGACGGCACAAAGCCTTTTCTACATGCCTCCCTCACCTGGCCGTGGTCTCCCTGTTTCTCAGTACTACCATGTTTGCCCACCTGAAGCCCCCATCCCTTTCCCAGCCACATTTGGATCTGGTGCTGGCTGTTATGTACTCAGTGGTACCTCCAACACTGAACCCCCTCATCTACGGCTTGAGGAACAAGGAACTCAAAGATGCAGGAAGGAGACTGTTCCAATGGGTACATTATCAGCACCAATAACTCACTCATGTGCCTCTAACCCTCACTCTCAAGGTATTTGATTGATATCTAATCTAGGTATTGTTCATTTCATTCTTAAGTAACTTTTCTTTGGTGCATTCTTGTGATTTTTATTCTTGCCATTCTGTGAGTGTCCAATAAACCTTATCATAGAAAAAAGCTCAGAGAAGACGGGCAAAGGGTGAGGTGCCCAAGAATCATATAGCATGTAACTCACTGATAACAGCTGTTATATAGGGAACTGATTTTATCCCAACACACAAGTTGAACAAGGATGTCCTTCATGTCAGAGAATCGGCTATAGCTCTTGAATGGATTAACTRGTATAAACATTTCTTCCTGAGTTGATGAAATGAATGGGAATATCTCCCTGCGGTTAGACAGACCAGCATGAGGGAAATGTATTTGTGGTTTAGWCCAACATAGGGTATAAAACCTAAACAACTAACAGAGGAATTTTGGAGAGAGCAATGTACTTGTGCCAGCTTCATCCCATGTATTTATTTCTGGTGACTAGGGACGCATATTAATAGAGACTGGTAATGGTAATCACATTGATACTGTGCTTGAACTGTATAGGTGCATTTGTGATTTCAGTAAATTGTGGAATTATGCTGCTAAATCAAAATCACTTGTAACATAAACTATCTTCAAAATGAGCTTGTTCTAGTAAACCTTGCACTCTCTGTATGTATGTTAAAAAAGAACCTCCTGAGAGAGTACTGGACTCTGACAGGCAATTGCCCAGCAATCACTCCAAGGGGCTATGGTTCTCCTGTGGGTCCCATGCTATATCTGCACGTAGGAACCACAATATCATGTGTTTGTGCTGGAATGCCAAGCATGTGACATAATGCTGCTGGGCTATTTTTCTGTCACTGAATGAAGTGTCTGCACGGAATTATATTAGCTGTTTTAATGCAGAGATCTACATGATTATTTTAGTCTGCCTCAGTGAGCATCACCTAGGAGGAGAGAGTACAAAGGAGAAATCAAGTCATCCATTGAGCTGGGCAACTGTTCCCAAGAGGGGCCAGGCTCCTGGAACATAGGAACTCATGGCAACATGGCAGGCCTGTCAAGAATCAACTATATCCAGAAAAGGCAACTCTGTGAAGAGCACCAGAGCTCCAGGCACTGCCTGCTGCTGGTGATATGAAAGAAGAGAGAGGTAAGTGAAAGGCAGTATGGAGTGGGAGGATAGAGAAGAGCTCATTTTGGGAGAAATCTGCACAGCTCTTGACACAGTAAGTCTCTGGCAACGGAGCAATGCTACTGGGGAGCTTGGAGGGGACTTCACCACCTGTCTCATGACTGCTTTTTTAGGCTATTTCACTGAGGTTCTTGAGTGCAGAGGAGGAGGAGGTGCTTCAGCGCAGGGATTCCCAGACACACTTCTGAAGGACAGGGCATGCTATCTTGTCCCAGGGATGCTGCAGAGGCATGAAGCCGGTGTACACCCAGGTCTTCCCATGATTGCAGTTTAGAGCGGTGTCCTGTGCCACATGGTGTCGTGTGTCCAGGGCAGTGATTTTGCCAATTGCAAGGGTAAGCACTCAGCCTGCCTGGGGAATTTATCATGGGGCAGCCAGCAAAAGATCTGGGTCAGAGCCAGCAAAAGATCAGCTATTAGATTAACTCCGTAGGACTTGCATACACAGAGATATCCCTGCCCAGTGTATCAAGAGAGCAGAACTGAGCACAGAGAGGATGGAATGGGATCAGAGCATGTCTATGAGTGCTGGCAAGGAAAAGACACTGGCAGGGATAGCTCCAGGCAGCAAGAAAAAGGCAGGAAATGAGAGGAACTAACAGAAACATCATGGGAGGATTTGTTTGGACAAGCCATGGCCAGTCCTGCTCGTGCAGACACTTTCGTGTGATCAACCTCCAGTTTCTCCTCTCCCATCCAGCATAATCTCTGCCCTGAAACCCGTGGAGGTCAGGGAATCATAGAATCATAGAATGCTTAACGTTGGGAGAGACCTCTAGAGGTCACCTAGTCCAACCCTTCTGCACACACAGGTTCACCTAGAGCATGTGGCACAGAGTTGCATCCAAGCGAGTTCTAAAGATCTCTACAGAAGGAGATTTCACAACCTTTTCTGGCATCCTGTTCCAGTGCTCTGTCCCTGTCACTGGTAGGAAACTTACCTAAGAGGAAACTCTTAATTTCCTATGGAACTTTGGATGCTTCAATTTGTGGCCGTTTCCACTAGTGCTATCGCTGGCCACCACTGAAATACATGCAGGATCTGTTTCTGTCCCTGCTTTCCCCATTAGGTGGAGTTCATGTGGGAAGTTGACCTCATCACTCCCTAGAAGAAGTTCAACGGACTCAGCAACACCTGTGCCAAGTATCAGAGCAAGGCTTTCCTCCCTATAGCGATGGGAAGGTCCTAGCAGTGTGATATGAATCAGAGGCATTCCTCAGACCATCCCCAGCTCCCTCAGAAAGGGCGCAGCATCCATGCCTGCTTCTGGTTCTAGAGGCCCTTTACAAAGAGCAGCCAGACTGATGTCACCATCCCCGAGAAAATGGAGTCTTTTGAAAGGATAAACCCACTCTAAAACCAGTGCTGAGCTCCTGCTGTCCCACAAGCATCACTGATGTCTGCCTCAATGCTCTGCCTGGAGCACTAGCTGTGCTGACCAGCATGTYACAGTACAGCTGGCCCTTGAGGGGTTTTTATGCATACGATGGTCCTCATCTCTTTTTCATGGCTCCCTGCRTTTGACTCACTTCTAAGCAGAAAGAGAACAGAAAAGGCAGCATATGTATTGCTATTTCCCCTCACAAAACTCAGTCCAGGGAGGAGCAAATGTGGGGAGATGGAGGTATGTGGCGAAAAACGTGGAGCAAAGGTATTAACTAGATTGAAGCACAAGAGGCAGTCCCAGTACACTGGGTGTGCAACCAGCTGTTATAGCAAGTCAGGAAGTGAGATGGAGTATGATTGTAATGTGTTGTTTGATATAGTAACAATAATCATAGTAATGAAACAATTCTTAGGACATGGGGAAGAATTTCTAACAGTCACACTCCAAATATCTCAAGGGGAAAGAAGGGTGACAGGCTGCCTTCTTCCTAGGAACATAAGCCTTTGCCTTCAGAGAGACCATGAAAGCTCTGCAATATTCTTGGAAAGACTGAACACAAGTCGACTTCTTCCACCACCAGCTTGTTCGGCTACAGCACTGAAGGTCCCCAGCTCAGTAATTCTGACTCCCTGAAATGGAGACAGTGCTCTGGGCCCTGCCTGGTCCTGATGTACAGGAAAGCTTTGGAGAAACCTTGGAGAACTCTATGGAAGAACATTTCAGATCCAGGTTGGCAGACCTAGCTGCCATACACATGCCTCCCCAGTAGCAAGGGTCTGTGGAAAGTGGAAGGCAAGCCATTCTCTGGATGAGCCAGCTCACAACCTTTCAATACATGCTTTAGGAAAGTGGTGATAAAGAGAAAGATATTCAAACAGCACCTCCCTCCTCAAACATATCCCAGCCCTGACCAAAAGGAAGTCATTTTTTTTTTTCTGGAAAAAAAATGCAAGACTCCAGGCACATAACTGAGGAGACTCCTTTTTATTAAAGAAATGTTATACTGGATGTCAGGTCTGGCATAAAGGCGTCCATTGCTGAGCCTTGCTTATGCTCACAGGAATGCACAGGCAAGAACAACCCTACCATCACCATGTTAGGAAAGTGCTTGGGCCATATGCAAACATCAGAGGACAGCAGTACAGCATGGAAGTGAGGAGAACGGCTCTGAAAGGAAAAGGCCTTGTTGCTGTTGTCAAACACATCTCTAGGAAAGCTTCAGCCCTACAGGAAAGCTGCAGTGGGAAAATCTAGACTGTGGTTGTTGGGGAATTGCCTTGAGAARCACAAGGTCCGTTCCCATAGGCTGTGTCCAGACTTTCCTTTCTTCCATTCCTGCTCTGCTGTGAGCATAGGAGCACTGTAGAGGGAAAGGACTGGCACACAATGATCACTGGCTGCCACCATTGCAACACAGGGGTCAGAGAACACACCCTGAGTGTTGCTAGGGGAGCTGAGCTCTCCTAATGGATGTGGGATCCATGGTATCACCCCATTTGTACTCACATAAGCCTTGCTCTGTCCCCCATGAACTGCCTCACACTGCAATGAGACACTGCAATGTCATAGAATCATAGAATCATAGGTTAGTTAAGGGACCAACCTTAAGGYTAAGGTTGGAAGGGACCTCTAGAGGTCATCTAGTCCAACCACCCTGCACATGCAGTGTCACCTAGAACACGTGGCACAGGGCTGCATCCAAGTGGGTTTTAAAGATCTCCAAAGAAGGAGACTTCACAACTTCTCTGGGCAACCTGTTCCAGGGCTTTCACCCTCATCGTTAAGAAATATTTTTGTAAGTACCTGTGGAACTTTTGGTGCTTCAGTTTATGACCGTTTCCTCTAGTGCTATCGCTGACCACCAGTGAAAAGAGGTCAACCACATCCTCCTCATTCCCTCCCTTAAGGTATTTATACACACTGATACTACAAATATCAGTATTTATACACACTCTCAGCCTTCTCTTCTCCAGGCTGAACAAGCCCAGCTCTCTCAGCCTTTCCTCAYAGGACAGAAGTTCTAGGCCCCTCATCATCCTCATAGCCCTGTGCTGGACTCTCTCCAGCAACTCCACATCCCTTCTGTACTGGGGAGCCCAGAACTGGACACGGTACTGCAGCTGAGGCCTCACCAGGACTGTGTACAAGGGGATGATCACCTCTCTTGATCGGCTGGAGACGGTCTTCTTAATGCACCCCAGGATCCCATTGGCCTTCTTGGCCACCACGGCACACTGCTGCCTCATGGTCAACTTGTCATCTGCCATGATGCCCAGGTCCCTCTCTGTGGGGCTGCTCTCCAGAAGGTCAGTCCCCAGTCTGTACTGGTATCTGGGGTTATTCCTCCCCAAGTGCAAGACCCTGCACTTGCCCTTGTTGAACTTCATGAGATTTCTCAC